TAGTCAGCTCTTGGTTCCACCAGGGCTTTGCTTTTGGCCCTAGTTTTAGACGCGGAATAGCTTTGTCGGCAGCTGTTTGGATTACTGTAGTAATAGCGTTCCCAATTGCTTCTAGCTGCTGTTTTAGCTCTTTGTCCTGGTCTAAGAGTGTCACGGGCCGGGACGGCCGCCAAAAGGGACAGGTATCAAAACAGTATATAGTACAAGTTGTCTATCCCGGAACTGTGGGAGGTGAGGCTAAGTACAGAATCCCAGCCAAGGCGCCATACCCGAACGGGGTAAGTGAGCTCTGGCAAAGGCAGCGCCATAACAGCAACTCATATAAGGGTGAAAGGTATGCCAAGTACTAATACTTGACAGTGCATCTGTATTATTTCAATGGTCACGTGATATTACCATGGGCGTACTCGGGGCATAAAACGTCGAAATCAAGTCACACTCCGCGGTGTGTTCACATTGGTGTGCGTTGACGATGATGTGAGACCGGCGACAGCGACAGAACAATTAAAGTATCGACCTCGTAAATGGGGCAAGGGTTTGAGCAGATCATGTTCTCTTATCGTGTGAAGACCGGGTAAAACTTCCATAGGATCTTGGATGGATGCTGACCCCCACACAATCTTACAAGTGGGCTCCTGCACGGTTCAGTTAACAAACCCGAGATGCAACCTTATTTTCGGTGGTACTGTGGAAATCGGGCGGGGCACAAAGTCTGAAGATCACACTGGAAGATCTATTGAGCTTGGATCTGGCGGTTCTAGATTGCTCGGCAGTTGTATGCATATTTGGTAACATAGTAAACTCACATTACTAAGTGCACAATCGCGCAGTTTCCCCAACAAGCTACTGCGGGTGTTTTGATTAGTCATAGGCGTACATGTGATCTTATGCTTTCGTTCTAATATATTACCTTTGATGACACTACTAAGAACAGATCAGCTCTCAAGCATCTGATCCTTGAAGTTCTCGAGGCTCTAAGAATGAAACAACCGAACGGAGCTCTTTGTAACACTAGCATCCTTCTAGATACATGGCCTGTATTGTTCTAGGATGCGCCGCGAAATGACATCGGCGCCTCTCTATGGTCGAAGTCAGAAGCTTTGACTACCAGTTCAATGTACCATGTAGTTCGCGAAGTATCGCGGCGAATTCCCCAGCTCCTTGCTTCGTATTTAAAGACACTTGCCGCACGCCTAATCTCCGTCCCGCTGTGCAAGAAAAAGTATCTTACAAATAGAATTTTTTGGTGCTGGTTCATGAGCCTGTTCCAACACTATTAGAAACTACCGAACGAACAGGAGAAGTTTCCAGGACGGCACATGCACCTTCAGAAAATCCTCCGACACAAGGGTTGGGATTGGAGCTTGTAGAGTATGATCCTCGGCACGGAATGCCATGCAAACTCTCAATGTTCGCCACAACCAATCCTCGGTACATGTTAGCCACAGTTCGGGGCTTGTTTATTTCCAGCCCATATTTCATCTGCTAGACCTGATCTGGGAACGGTTTAGGCCCCGTCTCGAAAAACAATATGCACGATAGAAGCGACATCGCATTTGGAAAACATACATATGGTAACTGAAAGATGGCGCTAGAAATTGTCAGCGCTTCTATACTCAAGTGATCCGTGCTTAGCGCTGATTTACCCTCTACTTCGTACTTCTTAGACGGAACGGAGGTCCGTTTTGTTGTTAGTTGAAGTAGCCTATCCTACTACATGACTACTATGACGTGAGCCTAGATGTAAGGCCAGCCAACGCTCCTTTACTATTGAAGCTTTAACCCCAAAGCGGGAATAAAATGGAGACGGAAAACTGAGAACCGAACAAGCCCTCGGACGGCTCTCATCATCATCCACCACAATGTCCAGCTCTACTTTAGTTGTCTTTCTAGCCATCAGCGCACTAACTGTGGCTTACTTCTACACGAACAACAAGCGCTACGATGCACGGGAGAAGTCGCTCCTTAAGCTGCCACTTATCGGCGATATCCACAGCTCGCCGATAGAGAAGCCATTGGAAAACTGGAGTGCATGGTCCGAAAAGAATGGGCCGATTACGATAGCGAAACTCTTCGGCATTGTACCTATTGTTGTTCTCAATTCGTATGAAGCCGTCACGGAGCTTTTCGGTCGCCGCAGCCAATGGTATAGTAACCGACCAGCTTCTGTGAGCATGGAAATGATTACTGGAGCAAAGCCGGGATGCTCTAGATTTACACTAATGCACGACTATGATGACCATCTCAAGCTGCATCATCGGGTTCTCTCACCAAGTCTGGGTGCGCCTGCAGCGCACAAGTACCAGCCGCTCATGGGACTAGAGGCTAAGCAGCTACTTTTTGACATCAGCGCTACTCTCGAAAACTGTGCTGACGGTTCCATAATTACCACAAAGGACTTATATCCTTTGCTAGAGCGGACTCAGTCCAGCACCATCTTAGGTCTTCATTACGGCCTTCGCATCCCCAAGATCGATGAGCCAATATTGCAAAACGTCATTGAAACCCAAGCAAAAGTCACCCATCTTGCCGCAAACCCCCAGCTCCCAGATCTGGTACCTTTCTTGCGCTATCTACCTACTGTTGTTTCCCCATGGCAGCAGTACGCTGACAAGCTGTTTGCATCCCAAGTCGACCTCTACATGCACCTCTTCCAGCACGGCAGGGATGCACCCGGCTGGAATGCTACAAAACAAGTCATCGCAACAGCCGCAAAGCATGCTCCGGCAAGCTACCCAGTAGCAGAGCTTGATCTCGCCTTCACACTCGCAACATCGATTCAAGGCGGAATGGAGACATCGCCGCGTCAACTACTCTGGCTATTCGTCGCAGCCCTACGCAACCGGGACTTTGTGACTCGCGCGCACCACGTGCTCGACGACGTCGTGGGCCGGACTCGTCTCCCCAGATTTTCGGACCGCAGCAGCCTCGCGTACGTTGACGCAGTCGCGCACGAGCTGTTTCGCTGGCGGCCAGTTTCTCCGGGGACGATTCCCCGGCGCGCCGATTGGGCGGATAAATACGGTGGTGTGGAGATCAAGAAAGGGGTCACCATCATGGCGAATGCGTGGGCGATTGGCCGCGATAAGAACGTGTTTGATGGGGCCCTGGGGGATGCGGAGGAATTCTTGCCTGAGCGCTGGTTGCGGAGTGGGAAGGTTCGGAATGACCTCCCACTTCCTGTGTTTGGTCAGGGGAGAAGGATATGCCAGGGAAAGCGTGTCGCGACTGATGGAGCGTTTTTGAATATCGCATATTTACTCTGGGCGTTCGATATAGAGGCTGTTGACGGTGAGGATGTGGATCCGTTGTCTATGGTGGTTGTTGGGTTCATGGTTGAGCCGAAGCCTTTCAAGTTCCGTCTGAAGCCTCGGGGACAATGGGTGCTCGACCTGGTTAAAGAAGAGTGGAAGGGCAGCGAGAAAAACCTGGAAATGGTCATGGGTGTGGCCAATGATGTTGAGACTGGGAACTAATTAGAATTTTTCCCTGATGTTTAAATAAACTGTGCAAGGGGGTCACGGATTGATAAACCAGGCCGAGCCGCGTCTTCCAAACTCTCCCCGCTATGTACAAATGAAGAGTGCGGAGGCTGACCGACCAGACCAATCACTTCAGCCATTCCAACCACTTTTGTATTGTACTTAATTTTTGTGACGTAATTATCTTGTTTTTGTCCACGGAAGGTGACTGGGTGATATGCACAGCGATTCACTATGTCACATAGAAAAAGTCACATGTCACAAGACCTGCATGCAGTACGATTGGTTATAGAATAAAATCCTTGAACATATACGTGCTGAAGAAAGTCAGATATGTAGCGTTTGACGATATTTACATGTGGTCCTCTGCCAGTAATTTACGTTCATCACTGCCGTACCGGATACTGGTGGAATTCCTTGCTGGTCAACGATTGACGTAGCCTAGAGACCGAACCAAGTCATGTCCGCATCCTCATCAGGAGTAACCCAGTGTCCAACGTTCTGTGCGCTGACGCCTACAAGCTTAGTGCCATCGCCGTAGATCATGGAGGTGTAGCCATTGCGGGGCGTGTTGGTAACGTTCTTGGTGAAAGACACCCCAAGCAGACCGCTCCATTCCTTGAGCTGCTCGCCCAAGTTGGGATATTTGACAAGGCTGTCTGCGGTTCCGTGGTAGGTCATGAGGCGAGGATATTGGCCGTTGAAGCTCGGGTACATGGCCCTGACTTGCGCATCCCACTCGGCCTGCGTCTTGATGATCTGACCGTTTGCGCAGCGCGGGTCAGCGGTACTAGGGCTGGCTCCTGGGCTACCAGCTACACAGCCTGCTGCCACTCCAGAGTAGCAGGTTGCTGCAGAGATGACATCGGGATAGGTGGCCATCATGACGTTGGTCATCATGCATCCAGAGCTGGCGCCAGTGACGAAGACCTTGGTTGGGTCGGCGGAATACGTCTTGATGACATATTGGATCATCTGGTTGAGGCCTTGGTTGTCGCCGCCTGCATCTCGAGAGAGGCCCTTTGCGGTGTTGACTTCCCAGCAGTTGTTGTCTTTCTTGGTTGAAGGGAAGATGGTGATGAAGCCCTTTTGCTCTGAGAGGGTGTTGTACTTTGTCGTTGATGCGTAAGTCTCGCCAGAACCTCCGCAAAAGTGCAGCTACGTTTGTCAGTTTTGAGCTCATCTATCAACGATTGCTGACCACTTACCGCAAGGATGATGGCGGGCTTGGTGACCAACTTTGCTGGAACGTTGATGTTCATCTGAAGGTTCGTTGGGTTGCTCCCCCAGTTGTTAACACGGGTGAGAGCGCCATTGGCAGTTGCGCAAATGGCAGCGATGGTGCTGATAAGGGCAGTGGTGGAGTGCATGTTGGGAAGATGTGCAGTGCTAATGCGATGTGCGAGTGTGAGGTGCGAGTGTGATAACAAGAATTCTGTGCGGATGCCTTGGTCCTTTTATGTGCGCTGGGTTTGCGAGGAGATCTTCATGCGTGCTAGACATGGTCAGGGTTCTTTCTTTCCCGTACCCACTGTGGTGTGTACACCCCTCTTCGAAACACTCTATGTAGGTTACGCACGGATCGGCAGATACTATATTAATACGGGTTTACCTTTTGAGGTATCCAACCTGCTGTATTGCAGTCGTTCCGAATGTTTTGCTTATCTTCGTATTTCTTCTCGTAAGTATCTCCTCTCGTACCATATCTTACTCTCCAAGACTTGATGTCATGGGCCTTGAGCACAATGGACTTCACCGACTGTACTGGGGGCGGGATGTGACTTGCGAGTATTTCTGACCTATCTAGTCGTTTTTGAGAAGAAATCTTGGACTAAAGCAGAGCCTCAGTCCGACCAATGGTCTGAAGAACAAAGGAGGTCATGCACCATCCCAGATGTTGAGCTATGTCCTGTTTCAACCGTTTTCCTTGGCTATCCCTGTTAATCAGAACGGGCCAACATTTTCTTCAGCAAAACCCCCACCAAACAGAGCATCCGTTTTGCTCATATTTTGTATTGATAGTTAACTGGTATCTTTAAGGTTTTTTAGACTACACGCCGGTTGCAAAAGTTTAAAATAAGTTTACAAAATAACGTAAGCATCCCTAATAGTACAGAAAGGATGAGATGGAAGAAGCAGCATAAAATTATCCTCCGAACGCAAGGACCGCAAGCGGCACCTCGCGCCGAATTGATTAAAGCTACTACCGTGCATTGTTTCCGAAACACGCCTAATACGGAAAGGGATCGGCTCAATGTGTACGACACTCAGTTTTCGCGCCATACAACCCCTGCATACGTCTTCCATGTGTTTTCTAAAGCGGGGAGTTCAGCCAAATATGGCAGGATGGCTTGAGTGGGTAATCTGGCCTTCATAACCCCAACAGCTGCCTGAATGTCGGCTGTTTCGAAAGGAACACTTGAAGTTCGGCACTTCTTCCCTACCCCACGTTCACCGAATACGTAGTAGTAAGACATACAAGGCCTCTTGAAACGTCACGGGAACTATACACACGGACCTTTTTCAACGAATCCATGGCTGTTGGACTTACTATGTACTTGGTCACCATGAATAGCCTGGTATAGAGATGACGCGCTAATTACCGAATAGATCGGTACTTGTACTGATAAGCCTGGACAATAGGGCTCACGATACAACTGCATATGTAACCAACACGCTGTTTTGTGGGGTAAGGTTTGCGGGGCCGGCCCGAATTTGTTAAGCAAAGAGATGAATGCAACTCAAACAGACTGAGTGGGTGGAAGAATTTCTCTTTCACATCCAGACTCACATTACACAGTATTATCCCGTGAGTCGAAACTCTGAGCATAAACCTCTCGTGTTCAGTGGCGTGAGTTGATGGAACGCGGGAAGCCCGACCGCTGCCGAATACGACCTGGACTGATGTGAGACATGGGATTGAACGTTGAGAAACTTATTTTAGGACGATTTCCACGAGGCCTAGATTCACACCCTCAAGGATATTATAGGACTTGCACGTGACCCAATATTGGGCATAGCGCCTTGGCGGATCCCCTGTGCTAAGCTCAGCTGCCCAGTATTACGATCATATCTACTGTTCTTACTGCTACTTTTTGGTCGCCTGTCTATTTCTGTTGCATTTCTTGGTTCCGGTATTGCGCCGTCGCAAGAAGCCGGCGAGCGCTGTGTCGAATCTTCATCCCGAACCAAACATATAATTGTCAATCTTAAACCTCAGACTACAGGCATATAGCAGACGGTGAGACATAAGCACGCTCGCATATCTCAGATACGAAATTCCATTTACTGATGAAAGTTGTTGCACAAACAAAACTCTTTCTACCACAAAGTCCACCCAAACAGTACAGAGGAAACTACAGCTATAAACCAACAGATAGCCAATTTTGCATTCAACTTGCTTATCACGCCAACGCAACTATGAACAAGTACTGGAAACAGGCGTATACGCTGACACAACCCGAATCTGTAAGCTGAGGAATGACCAAGCCCTTATTTGGAAAACAAAGACCCCAGATCCACTTCTTCCTTGCGGTGCCTAAATCGTACCTTATTATTTGGGTCGAACCTCATCGTATCACCAGACGAATGAATAAGCTCCACATTTTCACTTAGTGTAAGCTCCTAGTCATATTTAAGCAGAAGGTGACACAGTGCAATTTTGACTTCGTTCGCAGCGAAGAAACGGCCGGGACACGCCTGATCTCCGTGACGAAATCCGAGATGTTCCGGACTGGTGGACACTAGATGAGCCTTGCTAGCAGTAGCGGGATCTTGTCGTAGACGGCAGAAACGGTAGATATCGAACTTCTCTGGTTCGGGCCATATCTCTGGGTTCGTCAAGCTCGTACCGTTCACGATGTAGTAGCCGCCCTTCTTAAGAATGGTGTCGTTCGCAAGCGTGATTGTCTCAGTTGCAATCCTTTTCATTTGAACTGAGTCAAGCAACAGTTAGCGATTGCTGTGGCATCATGTGCTTGTAGCGTCGATGGCGAGTACTTACGACAGGTAGTCGGGCACAATTGGAGGGCTTCCTTTAGAGTACTGTCCATGATCTTTAAATTGGCAAGCGCAGCCTTACTGAGACCGTCAGCACTCAAGACCTCCATAGCCTCTTTACGCAATACCGGGATCAAATAAGGCTCGTTTGTTAAACACGTCATAATCTAGTCTAATAATTCCGAAGTAGTGTGGATTGCGAAGACAGAGAGGGGTATCTAGTAGGAAACAAGATCCGTTATCGTTGCATAGCCTTCTTCCTCAAGCCACTCCAACATATCGTCGTAGACAGCGGCGGGCTCGCCTTTCTACTTTACTTCTGCCTTTGCTTATTTCCGCTAGTCGACGATTGGGGCTAGGATATCGCATGCTTCGATAAAGTACTTTTGCGCAAGTCTAGCATCTTTTGCAAACCAAGCAAATATATACTGGATTGGCAGAGGCATGAAGGAGAGCGAAAAACCGGTCGTGACACTGTGCACGGTGTAATTCTTGGTGGCTTGAAGCCAGGCTTCATTACGACATAACTCGTCGCCAAGGAACACCTTACTTGACAGGCGGGCAACCAGCTGAAGGGCGGAATCTGCAATGATAGTATCTATCCATTCTGATGTGTGGTTAGTTGGGAAGCTTCAAACCTCGAATATGGTGCTCACCTGGATCGTTGCCAAATATATAATCGATTGCAAAGGTGGACTCCTTGGATAGTGGTGCTGTCACCGCATCTAGAACATGTAGATTAGCTTTCTAGTACTCAAAGATTGATATGAATCCCTTACTCAAGTACTTAGTAAGCTGATTTTTGGCCACATTTTGCATGACTCTCTTTGGGTTTGAAAAGGCCAGAAAGGGTTTCAGGCCATATATGTGGCCTGAAAGATCCTAACATTTCGATTTAGCGAAGTAAGATGTCTTGGTATAGGAATCAAATACTAGCGTTTGCGAATGCTTTGGTGAATAACAGGCGACGTTCGTTGCGTATCAAGTTGGCGTATTCTGGCGGAAAGACGGTAACTTCACCCCCACCGGTGATGAGCCTAAACGGATATTTCCCATATCGTTTTATGGTATTCTCGAATAACTTGTGACCGTTCGTCAGGAATTCGAGACGTTTAAATGTAGTAGGCTCGAACCAAGCAGGAGGATTGGCGATTGGATATTTTGGCTTTATGTTGAGGACAAAAAACGAAATCAAAGTAACGATGATCAGAGATATGGTGGTAACTAAGGGAAGAACCTGTTTGATTGTAGCTAGAGATGGCTCTGATGAAAGATCGAGTAAACTTCAGGAGCTAGGGCCCGACATGTTGAGAAACGGTTAGGCGATGGAGTTGGTTGTGCTTGCTGGTGTAGAGCAAAACGAGGACGTCATGTTTTATATATGAAGGGTACCTCATGTCTGTTGACCGGATGCGGGAATAGCACGGCCCATTAGTATTGCATCATTTATCACAATTTGGACCATAAAGAGAGAAATTTCCATGCACAGGAGACCCTACTAGGGCACCCTTGATAATGACCGTTATGAGGTTTAGCCATACTAGCAATCATCACTGTTTCACTGTAAAGAAAAAGGCGAAATGGCACCATTTGAACCTATGCAGGAATACCGACTTATCATTTGCCTACTTCGACTGTCTTCAATCATATCGGATTCAAAATAAAACGGCCTACGTGCTGGCCTGGTAGGATGTGCGTTCGCAAAATCTCGTCTATCCCCATACCTGTGTAAATGCAGTTGCACTGTCACTGTGCTATTATCACTACAATAGAATGGCTGGCATGGCCAATTAGGCCATATCCCTGATTTTACATGTCAATGCTCGGCTTCCTACAATTACCGTTCAGTACTATCTGGTTGCCAGACGTATAGCGCATTAACAAAATCTCGCACATACCTTACTCTATGTAGCGTAAGTAAACGATGAGGTCCACGAGGGACGGGCCGCATCGTTGCCGGTTTTCATGTTCGGTAGAACGAACAAGGCGGTAGGACCAGGGCACGTAGTTATTATGTAAGACGGGTCCGGAAGGAGCGACGTTCCGGCCGACTTCTTGTTAGATGTAATTGCAGTAGGCACAAGTACCCAACATAGAAGCCATGACCCGGTCCACGGTAAGAAAACTACTTCGGCTATTTTGAAGTACCCTTTACATTTACATACATCAGGAGCCGGTTCGGCTGTCCCTTCTTCGTTCCTATTCTGTTTCCAGTTTCAGGTTTAGTAGCGCTTCAACGAGGCCAGCTAGAAAACGAAGTTCCGTTCCGCGAAAACCAAGAGAACGCGGCCCGTTGAAACTACACTTACCAGATAGGCAATTTCTCGCTAATATAGCGCTAACTGTCGCTAGTATTACTTTATGGCTATGATAGAAATATCTACGTTTGTTAAATACAGCGTCGTTTCCCTCTGCGTTTTCCAGACGGAGCCAAGGTTATTCTTAGATTCGGTTCAACAAAGGGAAACCGGAGCTGAACCGGACAGGCTCTAAATCCAAGGGTAACAGCAGGTACAACACTGTGTCAGCTCTCTTGGTGATTTCAAAGCGCTCTTTACGCTTACTGTGTATATGCGCATAGTGAGAACAAGAGTAACAGGGAAGACGGCATTTTACAAATTGCCTGGGCAATTTTGGAATACATTGGCAATTTTAAATTACCTCTTACTTGTACATGTGTACACTAAGAAAGAGAGCGCTGGCAAGGATGATACTGTACCAATCCATGCAGACATGCAAATGTGTTTGGTATTTTCCATGAAACAAAGGAAACTCCAATAGTAGCTATGCCGATGAATGCTTAGGTAAAGGTGACAATCGGATGGGCCAGATAGGGAGAAAAAGATAAGACTTTTCTCTCAACATCCATCCATAGCAGGGCTCCTTGGACGTGCTATGTGAAACTTGGGGCAAGGGCGATCACGGAGAACCTTAGGTCACCACCTTTTTCACTTTCAATCCTCATCAGCCTTCCAATCCCTTTCTCCAACGCACCAGAACTAAGCACATCTTCGTCATCGCCCAGTAGCCCCCGATCAAGCGGACCCTTGCGATCCCCTTCAAGCTCCCACAAATGCCCATCCTTGGCCTTGACAAACGCGACAAAATGCTGTCCACTATGTTCATCTGAAGTAGGAGTAGGTGAGGCAGTATCACCAAGCTTTGCTGCATCGGCATGGGCCTTTTCGAAGGCATCCGAATCCTCGAGTACTTTGGCTCGTTCCCAGATGGGTTTTGGCAGCGCATCCGCACGAATCTGGTCAAGAGGGGAAGAAGGCTGGATGTGGTCTGATGCTGGGGTGTTGAGGAGACAGTGGACTAAGCCTATGCTTCCACAAGCGTTGCCGATTGTCTGCTTGAACCAGATGACGGGCTCTGTTTCACCCTTGCCTGCATACTCGGACTTGTCCTTGTCTTCTGCTGTGCGCGCCTCGTGCCATGTTGGGGTGAGTGGTATGATGACGAGCAGTGCTACGACCGGCCTAGGAATGACAGCCAGCATGTCCGGGTCAGTGAGAGAGTAGACATCGTGGAAAGAGAAGACGGATGTGTCGAGACCGAGGTCTTTCGCGAGATGGTTCATGACATGGGGGTTGTTTTCCAGCATGGTCCATAGCTTTTTCGCCATGGTGACGGTTTGTAATGAGTAAGGGTTATTTTGGAAGAGTTGATTTGGAAGACAAGTTGTTTGAAGTAATCTACTAGTAGGCGTGGATGCGTGCTCCTACTGTTTACACTACCTGGGACATGACTAGGCAACCACACACGCCACCACAGCCACTGCGGGATCAGTCGAAGCCGGATCACCAGCCTCGACTACCCCACACCAAGCCTAACCCGGCCCCCGCGGAACTGAGGTAGCCGGACACCACGTGACCATCACCAAAAGTAGCCACTTTTGACACGAATTATCGGTGCAACAACAAGATTCAAGAGTGTAAAACGCTGCGTGCAAAGGTTTAGTTGCGTGCAAAGTTGTTCATGTAAAAAACTAGTCCTTCAGCTGCGTGAGGTGCCCAGCTGTTTCGGTTCGGCGAGAGGCCAGATGCCGGACCGTTACTTTTACCTACAATGCAACGCCATCCCATCAACATGTCTGCGATGCAAGACCAACATCTCATTCAAGAGGCTCTACCTCTGCAATTGTTTTCCGACTAGTCCGTCTCATTCACTGGAATTCCCCTCACCACGAACAAAACCGGCGGTTCCCCAAGAATGAATCCCCAAACACCTTTGCATCTCCACCGGCTCTCCGCAGTCGCAAAGTCCAGTAACCTCAATTGAGCGACAAGGCCCACGATTATGGCATACATATGTCCGAAGGATCTTACTTGCTCCTAGAATGACATATATCTCATCCATTTCTCTACTCGATTGACCCTCCTCTTGCAAATCAACATTGCAGAGGCACTACTACCGTGGACGCACCAGTACAAACTCACCACCCACACGAAACCATGGACGACGAAGCCCGCCAAGCGCTAGCCAGCATGAAGATGCCCCGCCGCCCCATCAACTTTGTCCCGGCGTCATCTGGCGAGATTCTCAAATTAGGCCACATCACGTGCCGCATCATGGAAGACGGCTCACGAACCGACAATCGTATTGGCAGCGCCGAGTTTACTCTGCCACCAAACACTCACGGGCCGCCTGCCCACTGGCACGAGATGCATGATGAGACGTTTTTGGTAACTCAGGGTGTGGTTAGGGTATGTTTATTGTTCATCGTTATCCTCATTCCTGCCGATCGTCGTTATTACTATTATCTGCATTCTTATCCTCACTCTTACCCTTATCCCCAAACCGTCTGTCCATATTTATAAAACCCCCCTAGTTCCACGGCCCAGACAGCGAAATAATCGATGCCCACGTTGGTGACTACGTCACGGCCCCGATCCGCGCACCACACACTTTCTCAAATCCAACCAATGAGCCTGCCAAATTCTTCAACACGTATACGCCAGCCTTTTACATTGACTATTTCAAGATACTGGCGGAATTAAGCAAGACGGATGAGCGCATGAGCAAGGAGAAGAATATCGAGGTCATGAGTCGGTATGCGACGATACCGGCTGTGGAGATGATGGCAGAGCAAGAGAAGAAATGAGCAAAGTGGTGGAGAGTCCAGATAGCGATAAAAACGGTACCAAGATCATGGGTCGTCAATCGAAAAATAAGAATAACGTGGTTCACAAGCGAATCGGTTGCCCAAGCGAATCGGTCGCGCCCCACCAGCGCGTCAACGTCGACACTACATCACATTATGTCTCAACAACGCAGTTACTTATCAACTTATTCTGAATT